GCCGCAACCTCTCCATCGACCCTGCCTTGAGTGTGACAGGGATGCGGTGCCCCAACCCCCCAATCGGCCCTACCCTGAGGGGTGAGATGGGAAGGGGAAGTGAGGCTGTGCGGCAAGAGGGTGAAAGATGAGAATGAACAGAGCATGGCCAGAGATGGGAAAAGAGAGCGAGTGGGTGGGCTTGGCAGGGGGAGAAGGGCAGGTGTTTCGGACCCCAGCTGGCTACCTCTTCCCCAGGATTACTCTGTGGAAGGTATGAGTGATTCTCTGTTGAACTTCCTGCAGCATCTGCGTGAGTTTGGGCTTGTTTTCCAGAGGAAGGTATGAGCACCCAAACACACGGCTTCTAGGGAAGAGGCGGGTCCATGTTGCCATGGCCTTTAGAAAGGAGAGGGCCTTCGTGAGGCAGCAGAAAGCAGCTGCCAGACTGAATACTTGGGTCCCTTGGGAGAGAAGTTGGGTGGGGCTCTGTGCACTGGGAGGGATCGGGTGTCTCAGGAAGGAGGCACGACACCTGAGGGCCCTCTGCCTTTCCCTCCACCCTCCCCAGAGGAAGTCTCGGCGGTACTACCCCACGCGCCTGGCCATCAATCTCTCATCGGGTGTTTCTGGGGCGGGGGGCACTGCGCATCAGCCAGGCTTCATTGTCGTGGAAACCAATTACCGGCTGTACGCCTACACAGGTGAGGCGACAGCGGCCCTGGGAGAGCAGGTTGGGATGGGAGTGGGGAGGGAAGGAGGCCGGAGGAAATGTCAGGTTTTTTCAGTTTACCCGACAGTGTACAGTTTTCCGACACTTCCGATCACACATGAGGGCAGGGCTGAGGGAGCCTGGGTGCAGGGCAGCCTCCTCATCCTCTCTTCCCATCCCCGGGCAGAGTCGGAGCTGCAGATCGCCCTCATTGCCCTCTTCTCTGAGATGCTCTATCGCTTCCCCAACATGGTGGTGGCGCAGGTCACCCGGGAGAGCGTGCAGCAGGCCATCGCCAGCGGCATTACAGCCCAGCAGGTAGCCCCGCTTGGGGGGTGTGGCGGGAAGACGGGATGCACATGGGCTGTGTGGTCCCCTTAGAGAAGGCCAGCACCAGGTCTGTTGCAGTGGGTGGTGTGACTTGCCTGCTTGAGCATGGAGCAGGCACATGAGGAGAAGTTGAGGCTCTAGGCGTGGGAAAGACTGGAGGGACGAGGGATAGCTCTGGATTTGTGTCTTGGCACCACTACTTCCTAGCTGCATAAACAGGCTAGGTGCTTCGTTTCTGAGCCTCAGTTTCCTTATGTGGGAAATGGGAATCCTGAGTTTTCAACTCACTGGATTGAGGGGAGGATTCAGTGAGAGAGCAGCAGTAAAACATTGAGCTCAGAGCCTGCCACACATTAAGTGCTGCTATTTTAAAGAAAAACAAAATAAGACGGTGCAAAGGCAGACGAAATGGCAGACATGGCCAGTGGGAACAGCAGCTTGGGACCACAGCTGAGCAGGGAACGGGCTGACGACAGCCGGGTGGCTGAGAGTTTGTAAGCAGTAAGTTGTTCCACTGACATAGGTGATGGCCGAGGGAGTTTTCCTGCCCCCTTATTCAAGCTCCTGATTTCATTCTTCTCTGTTGTTTTAGATCATCCATTTCCTAAGGACAAGGGCCCACCCAGTGATGCTTAAACAGGTACAGACAGGTACCACGTGCTGGAGGCTGGCAGCCCTGGCACTGGTGACGAAGCGCTGGAAAATCGGGGATGTGTGGAGGGCTGGGTCCTCTGGGGCAGTGTTCCGGAACCTCACAGCCACCCCCTGGCCCTGCAGACACCTGTGCTGCCGCCCACCATCACAGACCAGATTCGGCTGTGGGAGCTGGAAAGGGACAGACTCCGCTTCACCGAGGGTGAGTGGCTTTGGTGGTTGATTCTTAGCCTTTGGCCAGAGGAAGGACAATTCCGTCTTGACCTGAAAAAGCTATTGATGCATTTTTTTTTGTCTTGCTGACAAGACACTTTATTTCCGGGCGAGTCTCAAATCTGTGCAATTTGGATTTAGTTAGGAGAGGGAAATTGGGAGGGGTCACCTCTCTGGTTTTGGTGAGCATTATGGGTTTTCTTACTGCACTACGTTGCCTCCCTGAATATGGTTGGATGAGCCAAGGAAGCGACTTAGAGGGCTACATTGACATGGTGGGCGGCCTGGGGCGAGGGGCGAGGGGCTCAGGGCTCGCCTCCTCTCCCCCAGGCGTCCTGTATAACCAGTTCCTGTCGCAAGTGGACTTTGAGCTGCTGCTGGCCCACGCGCGGGAGCTGGGCGTGCTGGTGTTCGAGAACGCGGCCAAGCGGCTCATGGTGGTGACGCCTGCGGGGCACGGCGACGTGAAGCGCTTCTGGAAGCGGCAGAAGCACAGCTCCTGACGCGGGCATCGGGCGATGCCCCGGGGACTTGGGGAGACTGCACGTGGGGCCCCTGCTGTTCAATAAAGTCGGAAAGCGCTCCTCGCGGTCCGGCCCCTCCCTCTCGCCGCCCCGCCCCCGCGCGCGCCCATTGGCCAGGAGGGGGGAGGAGGGGCGGGGCCGCGGCTGCCGCGCATGCGCCCGCCGAGCTCTGCCCCTTGCGCCGCGCGGCCGCGGGTCCGGTTCCGGTAGCTCAGTCCTCGGCGTCGCCGCTGCGGGGCGCCCTGGGGTCGGGTGAGCGCGCGGCGGCGCTGGGCAGGCCGAAGTCGCGGCGGCTGGCCGGACTCCTGCTGGCTCTCGGCGCGCCGGGGCGGCGGCCCATCTCCCCGGAATCCCCCGAGCCCTTTCCCTTCCCGCGTGGTCAGCGGGTCACCCCCCTTCTTTGCACGTGCGTAGATCGGGGCTAGAAAACTGACCCTCCCCCGGGAGAGCGCTTCTCTTGGCTCCGGGGAAACTATGTCACAAGCGAACAGGTACCGGCGGGCGCTGTGCGGGGTGGGAGGGAGTAACGCAGGCTGGGAGGAGGCGGGAGTAAGGCGGGACCAGGGGTGTGACCCGCCGCGGGCCCTGTCCTCAGTGCCTGTCCAAGCCCTGCCGATGCCGCACCTGCCTCGGGCCTCTTTCCGGCCCTGGGGGCTGAGGCCCTCACGGGGCCTCCCCGGGTCCCATGCCCTTTCTACCCAGTCCGAGCCCTACGGGTCCCCCACCTCCCGGAGGAACCGCGAAGCCAAACAGAAACGCCTGCGAGAGAAGCAGGCGGCGCTGGAGGCCGGGCTAGCCGGGAAGAGCAAGGTTGGGGTCGCCCCGCTTGTCCTTGGGTCCGCGAGAGACGTGGGCGGGGCTGCGGGGGAGACTGGACCCCAGGTGCATGGGGTGCACCGGGAACCGCAGCCCCTCCCTCGGCCCCTCCCCCCTCCCCCAGGCGCCTGCAGAATCCAGTAAGGCCTGGACTCCTAAAGAAATAGTGTTGTATGAACTCCCCACGGAACCCGGCGAAAAGAAAGGTAGCTAGAAACTGGCTCTCCCGTCGCCCATCCGGTCTGCTGAAACGCAGGGGACTTAGGAGCTCTGCCGCCTCCACAGATGTCTCCCGGCCCCTGCCTGCTGCCTACAGCCCCCGCTACGTGGAGGCGGCCTGGTACCCTTGGTGGGTGCGAGAGGGCTTCTTCAAACCCGAGTATCAGGTCTGTACTGGCGGGGAGTTCCCGAGGCCAACTCATGGGGGAGCTTGTCTCCTGCTCCAGTGTCTCCACACATCCCCTGGGCAGGTCCCCTGCCCTGGCCGTTACTTCCAGTCCTTTATGCCCTGGGGACAGCAGAGGGAGCTGTTCACCCAGGTAAGGGCCAGCCCTCTCTTGCCCTTTGCCTTGGCTCCTAGACCAGGCTGCCCCAGAGCACGGGGGAGACCTTTTCCATGTGCATCCCCCCTCCCAACGTCACCGGGTCCCTGCACGTCGGGCACGCACTGACTGTGGCCATCCAGGACGCGCTTGTGCGCTGGTGAGGGGAAGGGGGCTGCTTGAGTTTCGGGAGGGGCACGGGAGGGGGAGGGGGGAGGATAAATGTGGAAGCTCAGGGCTTTGCGTGTGCGTGTTTCTGTTGCAGGCACCGGATGCGCGGGGATTGTGTGCTGTGGGTCCCTGGCTCAGATCATGCAGGGATTGCTACCCAAGTATGTCTCTTGCCACTGTTTCCTTTGCTCGGGTGCAAGACACCCGATTCACTGTCTGCCCCTCATCTCCTAGGCTGTGGTGGAGAAGCAGCTGTGGAAGGAGCGGGGGCTGAGGAGACACGAGCTGGGCCGGGAAGACTTCCTCCGGGAGGTGTGGAAGTGGAAGGAGGAGTGAGTGCCAGGCGCAGGGGTCGAGATCATGGGTTTGGGACCTTGCTTCCCAGCCTCTCTCCGGCTTGTGGTTGCTCTTCCCATCCCCCTCACTTCCAGAGACTTGAGCTCTGGAGCCTCGTAGTGTTTGGTGGGGTCTCCAAGCTCTGCGTGTGTGTGTGTGTGTGTGTGTGTGTGTGTGTGTGTGTGATACAGTAAGATGTGCTTATTGACTTATGTGTATGTATATACACTCACACGCTCCCACTGGTGTGTGTGTGTGCGTGTGTGTGTGTGTGTGTGTGTGTGTGAGATACAGTAAGATGTGCTTATTGACGTATGTGTATGTATATACACTCACACGCTCCCACTGGTGTGTGTGTGTGTGTGTTTGTGTGTGCGTGTGTGTGTGAGATACAGTAAGATGTGCTTATTGACGTATGTGTATGTATATACACTCACACGCTCCCACTGGTCCCATTTTCCTGGCCTAGGCTTTATCATCTCCCACTCACCCACTGCCACCTTCCCTCTGCTTGACCTGTCCTCGTGTCCCCAGGTCGGCTAGCACATGCCGTCTCCTCTGCAAAGCTGCTCTGGGTTTCCCACAGGTCGGCTGCCCTCTTATAGAGCTTTATGCTTTTAAAGTATATTTTTATTAATTTCAGAGAGGTAAACACATAAATGGAGAGAGAACCATTGATCGGCTGCCTCTTGCACACCCCACACTGGGGATCAAGCCTGCAACCTGGGCATGTGCCCTGACTGGGGATCGAACCGTGACCTCCTGGTTCATAGGTCGATGCTCAACCACTGAGCCACACCGGCTGGGCTGTGCTTTTTTGATGTTCTAGAAGTCTCCATACTGTCTACATTAGCTTCCAGAGGCTGGACCAATGCTGCACTCCTCCCAGCCCCCAGCGTGGCTGGGTGTCCCTGGGCCTGGTCGTTGGTGCTCGGGACATGTTTGCTGACAAACCTCTCTGGGCACAGGAAAGGGGGAGAGATCTGTGGGCAGCTGCGAGCTCTGGGGGCCTCCCTGGACTGGGACCGAGAGTGCTTCACTATGGACGCAGTGAGTGTGCCCTCAGGCCCTGTGGGGTGGGAGGGGTTTAGAGATCGGAGGGTGGCGGGTGGCGGTGTGTCGGGGTAGCAGGGTGGGAGTGCGGGGCCCTGAACGGGGCGGCGGGCTGAGAGGGGCTGTTGGGTGTGGACACTCGGTCACCCTAGGGCTCCTCAGTGGCTGTGACGGAAGCTTTCGTGCGACTCCACAAGGCAGGGCTGTTGTACCGCAGCCGGCAGCTTGTCAACTGGTCGTGCGCTTTGAGGTCAGCCATCTCGGATGTCGAGGTGAGGCGGGGAAGAGAAGTGGCCGCGGGGGAGCGCGTGGCGGGTGGAAGCCCAGAGTCTGGAGCCAGACTGCCCGACTCAGTCTCTGAGCCTCAGTTTTCGCAATCTGAACATCAGGGCTGATGGGAAAGCCCTGGGGTGTTGTGAGGATGGAGGGAGGCCTCCTGGGAGGTGTCAGCACAGCACCTGTGTGGCTGTGCTCAGTAACTGTCCACGGCAGCTGCACTGCGCAGCGCTAGGTGAGGGCCCGGAGGTGGCACCCCGCCCTCTGAAGGCTTCCGTAGGTGCGCTGCAGGGAGGCTGGGCGGGAGGCCGGGGTGGGAGCCTTGCACGGGGCTGCTCTCAGACCCTGCTCCATCCACCCGCTAGGTGGAGAGCCGGTCCCTGCCTGGCCCCACAGAGCTTCGGCTGCCTGGCTGCCCCACCCCTGTGTCTTTTGGCCTCCTGGTCTCTGTGGCCTTCCCCGTGGATGGAGAGCCTGGTGAGGCAGTCTGGGAAGGGCCACTCACCTCTGCCTCCCTGTTTTTTCGAGCCCATGTGGGCCTGGTGGGAGGGGCGTGAGGAACCTGGTAGTGTTCGTGTTCTGTGGGCATTTAGCCTGGCTCCTGGGCCCTGGGAGCTCGGAGTAATTCTGCAGGAGGCTGGCCCCGGGGGAGACAGGTCAGTTCTGGAGTGGGGTGTGGACAGGAGGTGCGCTCAGTTCCAGGCGGGGCTGGTAGATGAGCTGGAGTGTCAGAGGGTGTTGGTGGTGGGAGGCGCGCAGCGTTTGTGATTGGGGCCGACTGTCCCCGGGTCCCCTGGGCCCCGTGCCTTTCCGAATGCCCATCCCCATTTCTGCCAGGGATTCCAGACACCGCCTCTGTCCCAGGCTCCTCATGTCTCGTTATTTCAACCTTGACTGCTCCTGCCCCTCCCTTTTCCAGTTCTCCTGCCTTTAGCTATGTCTGGGGTGAGGGTGAGAATGGTCACTAGCTGGCCGTGCTTGAATTTTACCCTCAGACGCAGAGGTCGTCGTAGGGACCACGAGACCGGAGACATTGCCTGGAGACGTGGCAGTGGCTGTTCATCCCGATGACGCCCGATACACAGTAATGCCCTGCCCTGCCCTGACCCTGGCCATCCTGCCCACAGCTTCCTCTCCCCTCCTTCCCCATGGCAACGCCTTCTCTCCAGCTTCCACCGGCTCAGCCCTCCAGGGGCTCTGAGGCTGCCCGGTCTCTTCTCGATGTCGCACTTTTCCTCTCGCTGTGGTTGACCAGGTCGGGCGGGGGCAGATCCGTGCTGCCTGTCCGTGCGCCTACCTGGAGGCAGGTGGAGGAGCCAGAGGCTGCGTTGGCCCCTTGGCCAGCAGAGCCTATAGTAGTCACACACCCCCCCCAACCCCCTGAGAAACGGTGGCTGACCCCTCTGGCTCTTGACTTGGTCCTCCCCCCTTATCCTCAGGGCTCTCCCGCCCTGCCCAGGCCTTTCTGCTCACATGTGCCTGTCCTTGCCCCTCCTTCCCTTCAGCATCTACATGGGCGACACCTTCGTCACCCCTTGACAGGGCAGCTTCTCCCGCTCGTCACAGACTCTGCTGTCCAGCCGCACGTGGGCACGGGTGAGTGCCACAGGGAGCAGGGAAGCTGGGTGCTGGGGGTGGGGACCGGGAGGAGGAGGAAAGGCGGGGAACCCGTGTGGAGTCGTCGGGGTGGTGGGGTCACAAAGGGGAGGCACAGAGGAGGGAGGGCTGGGAGGCCTGGGCCCCGATGGGAAGCCTACGCCTGGCGGCCTCCGTGCTCACGGGCTCTGCTCCCCCAGGGGCAGTGAAGGTGACTCCAGCGCACAGCCCTGCTGACGCCGAGCTGGGGGCCCGCCACGGCCTGCGCCCCCTGAGTGTCATTGCGGAGGATGGGACCATGGCCCCTGCCTGTGGGGACTGGCTGCAGGTGGGACCGGCCTACTGTTCCCCACCCTGTGGGGGCACCCCCCGCCCCGTTCTCCTTTCCAGGGAGGCCTGGAAGCTTTGCTGCTGCCCCTTTTCCAGGGTCTGCACCGCTTCGTGGCCCGGGAGAAGATCCTGTCCACGCTGAGGGAGCGGGGCCTGCTCCGGGGCCTCCAGAGCCACCCCATGGTGCTGCCCATTTGCAGGTGAGCCTCCCTGACGTCTTCTCCTCGGGCTCCCTCGGGCTCCTGGGAGGGCGTGGGGGCTCCGCACCCCTCGGGCTGGAACGCAGGCCTGCGTCAGTGTCACTGGCTGCTGTGTCCTCAGGGCGCGGGCCTGGCACCTCGAGGGCCCCGGAGCCCTGGGGCGAGGCCAGGGCTGGGCCAGGGCTCAGCCCTCTCCCTTTCAGCCGCTCGGGGGACGTGGTGGAGTACCTGCTGAAGAGCCAGTGGTTCGTCCGCTGCCGGGAGATGGCGGCCCGTGCTGCGCAGGTGAGGAAGGACGCTGGGCAGATGCAGAATCAGGACGCTGTGGGCAGGGAGGCGACGTGGCCCAGAGGGCTGGCTCGTGTCCTCACTCAAGCCCAGAATCTTCTCAGGAGGTTTGGGAGGTCCTTTTGAGCTGAGAAGCAGGGGGTGGGGCCGGGCGGGAGCATTGTTGAAGCGTCTCCCGCAGGCTGTGGAGTCGGGGGCCCTGGAGCTGAGCCCATCCTTCCACCAGAAGACCTGGCAGCTCTGGTTCTCCCGCACCGAGTAAGAGGGGCTCTGGGGGGTGGGGGCGGGGAGGGTGTGGTGCTGCTCCGGCTGAGAAGCCACTCCGCTCTGGCTCTGTGGCAGGGACTGGTGCGTCTCCCGGCAGCTGTGGTGGGGCCATCGGATTCCAGCCTACCTGCTCGTGGGGGAGCCTGGGAAGGTGGTAGGAGGCAGAGCGGGCGGGCAGGGCGGGGCTTAGCCCGGAGTCCCAGGCCTGCTGGGGCTCAGGCCGTCTCTCCCGTGGTCCAGCCTCAGTCCTGTGACCTCCCTGCGGAGGCCCTGGGAGACCCAGAGACAGGCTTCCCACCTGTGGCGGCTCCTCACGCGCCTCATTCTGCAGGGCCACGGGGAGGACTGCTGGGTGGTCGGGCGGACGGAGGCTGAGGCCAGGGAGGCAGCTGCAGCGCTGACAGGGAGGCCAGGCGCCGAGCTGACCCTGGAGCGCGGTGAGGGCCGGGCCTGGAGGGGTGGGGTGGGGGAAGCTGGCGGGGAGGCTGGGGCTGAGCGCGCAGGCTGAGGGCCTAGAAGCTGAGGTTCCGGCTCTGTTTGGCAGACCCCGATGTCCTGGACACGTGGTTCTCTTCAGCTCTTTTCCCCTTTTCTTCCCTGGGCTGGCCCCAGCAGGTGAGGCCCCGGGCGAGCGGCAGAGGGAGGGTGGAGGTGAAGGACACGTGTGGGCCCGAGTCTCGAGGAGATGGTGCCAGGGCCTCTTCCTGCTTGTCTTTCCCCCAGACCCCAGACCTCACTCGCTTCTACCCCCTGTCACTTCTGGAGACCGGCAGTGACCTCCTGCTGTTCTGGGTGGGCCGCATGGTCATGCTGGGGACCCAGCTCACGGGGCAGCTCCCCTTCAGCAAGGTAACGCCTTGTCGTGCCCTGTCCCTCGGTAGCTCGTGTCCCCAACCTTGTCCTCGCTCTGACCCCTGCCTTGGTGGTCTCCACCTCCCGATTCCTTCCCCATCCTCAGCCCTAAAGCCCACGGGGCCTCGGGAAGGCTCTCCAGGCCGCCTTCTGCCGCCCTCCCGCCCCCAGGTGCTTCTGCACTCCATGGTTCGGGACAGGCAGGGCCGGAAGATGAGCAAGTCCCTGGGGAACGTGCTGGACCCACGGGACATCATCCGAGGGGCAGAGCTGCAGGTAGGATAAGAGCTGGGCAGGGCTGAGGTTTGTGGGGGGAGGAGCCAGCTGGGGGTACAGGGGTGGGACCCATGTAGGGGTGGGTCTTGGACTGAGGCGAGCGAATACTCACCTGTCCCAGGTGCTGCAGGAGAAGCTGAGGGATGGGAACTTGGACCCCACAGAGCTGGCGATCGCGGCTGCAGCGCAGGTCTGTTCCCGGTGTCTGCCCCATCCGGCCTCTAGCTCACAGCCACTGGCTTTCTCTGCGACCCAGCCTCCTGGCCCTGCAGCCTCATGGGCATCTGCCACCCCTCCTCCCTCTGGTTGCAGAGAAAGGACTTCCCTCATGGGATCCCCGAGTGTGGGACAGATGCCCTGCGCTTCGCCCTGTGCTCCCATGGGGCCCTGGGTAAGCCGGGCAAGGTGTTGGGGTCGCGAAGAGGGGCTGGCAGGGCTGAGGACGCCCTGTGCCAGCGCATCCACCTGCATGCGCTCTCCTCTCTCCCTCCCAGCGGGGGACCTGCACCTGTCTGTCTCTGAGGTCCTGAGCTCCCGACATTTCTGCAACAAGGTCTGGAACGCCCTGCGCTTTATCTTCAGCGCCCTAGGGGAGAACTTCACGCCGCAGCCTGCAGAGGAGGTGCCTGGCGTGGGCTTGTCTGTCGTCTGAGGTGGAAGGCAGCCTCTGGAAGGAAAGGGAGGGGCGTGGAGTCGCCCTCCCGTGACCTGCAGCCTCTCTGCCTGCAGCTGTGCCCCGCGTCCCCCATGGACGCCTGGATCCTGAGCCGCCTGGCCCGCACCGCCCGGGAGTGCGAGCGAGGCTTCCTCACCCGGGAGCTGCCCCTTGCCACCCATGCCCTGCACCACTTCTGGCTCCACAGCCTCTGTGATGTCTACTTGGTGAGTGGGGCTGGGCCGGTGCGTGCTCTCCTGCAGGCCTGCCCCTCGTGCCCTGAGAGCGAGTGGTCCCTGGCAGAGCTCTCAGCTGGGTTCCCCATGGTCCGTTCTGTTAGGACAGGAAGATGACGAGCCAGGGAACCCTGACTCCCCTTCCCGGGGCTGGTTGAGCGCCTGCCCGGCCTATCGCCTGGGCGAGAGGAGGCGGGAGGCGGGGAGGCTTCTGAAGCAGTCGGACAGGCAGGCCCGGAGGTGGAGGGAGCTTCTTCCTCAGCCTCTGACTCGGTTCAGGCCGGGCAGCTGGGCACTGGGCTGGCCGGGGAGGAAGCGCCATGGTCTGCACCCGGGTTCTCAGCTAATGCCGCGGAAGTGCCAGCGGGAGGGCCAGCGGGTGCACCCGTGTCCCCTGCCCCAGCGCGGGCTCCCCAGGCGGTGGGTGGTGGAAATGGTCATTGCTTGTCCCGGGGATGCTGCTAGCGCAGGACCGCTGCCCGAGGTCACTGCTTCTCAGTCTTTTAAAAAACTCTGTTTCTTTGATGAGCAGAAAACGCAATAGTTTTCTTTCTAAGTTACACAACCTTCCTACAGTTCGATTACCCACCTTCCTCTGAGAATCCTGCCTGGGGTTTCCCTTCTCATGGGACAGCCGATGCTGTGCCCGCAGTCCTGGCTGTGGGCGGCCAGGGTGTGGCGTGACCCGCAGGCTTCCTCCCCAGGAGGCCGTGAAGCCGGGGCTGTCGCACGGCCCCCGCCCGCCTGGGCCGCCTCAGGTGCTATTCTGCTGTGCGGACGTCGGTCTCCGCCTGATGGCCCCGTTCATGCCCTTCCTGGCCGAGGAGCTCTGGCAGAGGCTGCCCCCCGGGCCGGGCGGCCCCCGCGCCCCCAGCATCTCTGTTGCCCCCTATCCCAGTGCCCAAAGCCTGGTGAGTCACACATCCCTGGGGTGGCCCGGGGCGGGGGTCTTCCGAAAGGGTTAGCTGTGGGTCACTAACAGCTGACACTTCACTGCGGAGGCTTTGGAGTTCTGCAGCGCCTCGGGGAGCCCTGTTAGCACCGTGGGCAAGAGTGACCGTGCCTCAGTTTCCCCTGTCGTTAAACCGGGATGGTAGCAGGCAGAGCCATGCTGTGATGAGGGTGGATGCTAGTAACAGGATGTCCCAAAGTCTCCGTGCAGTTTTAAGCTTTAATAACCTGCAAAGGGTGAATGCCTCAAACTTACTCAAAAATCATTTTCAAACTTAACTTAGTTTTTAAATGATGTGTTTTCTGAGTTACGTGCTTTTGTGAGTTTTGAATAATACATTTTAAATGTTTTATTTTTGGTTGTTTGGTATCGTCAGTCAGAGCGACTGAACAGGCAACAGCCACTGATCATCTAAGATCGTAGATGGTGCCAGGTTTTGCGGGTGACATCCCTTAGGTGGTGCAGAGGCGGGTGGGCGGGGCAGAGCCAGGAGAGTTGGCGGGTCCCAGGAGCCTGCTGCTCAGCCCCAGTCCGGTCCCACCTGCAGGAGCGCTGGCACCGCCCCGAGCTGGAGCGGCGCTTTTCCCGGGTCCAGGAGGCCGTGCAGGCGCTGAGGGCTCTCCGGGCCACGTACCAGCTCACCAAGGCCCGGCCCCGAGGTGAGGCGTGGCCTGGGCTCCCAGTGCCTGCGGGAGAAGCAGCGGCTGGCGGGGCAGGGGGAGCGCTTGGGGCCGGCCTTGACCCTGACCGGCCCCTTTCCCCCAGTGCTGCTGCAGAGCTCCGAGCCTGGAGAGCAGGGTGTCTTCGAGGCCTTCCTGGAGCCGCTGGGCACCCTGGGCCGCTGCGGGGCTGTGGGCCTCTTGCCTGCAGGTGCAGCCGCCCCCTCCGGCTGGGCCCAGGCCCCGCTCAGTGACAGCGTGCAGGTCTACATGGAGCTGCAGGTGCCCAGAGGAGCTGGGAGCTGGGGAGGGTCAGAAAGGCTGTGGGGCGGAGGGCAGGGCGAGTTCTGTCAGTGAGGAGGGTCTTCGCGTGGGAGG